GATTTTGCTGACAGTCGAGGGACGTTGCACATTAGTGAGTGGTACTTGCAAGAAAATAAACGGCTTCTCAGGCGCTCTCTGAAAAAGTGGTGCACACCAACTGAATATGGGCAGATTAGGATCGAAGGACACGGCACAGCTGCGCCCAACATGCAGGATCGTCCTAATAACATCACTAACTTGAGGTCTTAATGCCAATTTATAGAGAAATCGTAGTATATAATACTCTTTTTAGTATATAGCATATCTTAGTATTCTTGGAATATAATATAATCCAACTTTCAGCTCTCCTGCTTTGTATTTAAAAATCGCGCTGTAAAGCGAATTTCAAATCTAAATCCACTAGATTTTTTTAAAATTGCTTTGTAAAATAAACTTGAAAAAGTGAGCAATTTTATTGGTAATGCATATCCTAGAACTCAAAAAAGCGGAAGAGAATTTTTTATTAAAAAATTTCATATTTCATAATTTGATTCTGAAAAATCAAAAAAAAAAAAAAAATGGAGATGCTGTCAGTTTAGTTTTCATTCGTCGTCTATGCATGATCTTTTGTTTTAAAGAAACTTTTAGCACAAGCAAGCTGCTGCGCACAAAAGGAAGAAAAAACAAAAGAAGAATAGCGCAAAATTGGCGGAGCAGTGGTTGGCGGACGAGCGAAGCAATGCACAGCGTGAGGAACGTGCTCGACGTTTTGCTCGTGATGATGACGTTCGACGGACAAAATTCTCCGATATGCGACAACGCGTCGATTGGAGTATTGATCGGGGAGGTGATGAGGGGACCAGTGATAACATTGTTGGAACATGCACTGATATCGAGAAGTCCTATTTCCGCCTAACATCGGTTAATTTTTTCTCTTTATTTCATCTTTATTTCATCTTTTTCAACGACAAAGCATCTCCCACAGTTGTGGAACAGATAATCCTTCTAGGACCTCTCATTCTTTTCAATGGTACATTGGTACTAGCATATGTCAGGGAGTCTGAGCCGTGTCGACTTGGCTCTAAAGCAATACTCAGAAGTGGGAAGCTTTGTCATCGGTTCAGTGTTGGCACAGTAATTGGATTACTTCCTACCGTTTGAACTTTCAAAAAATGAATAAGGAGGGGGTTTTGATTTTCTACTTTTGTTCATTTATAGCATATTTTCTGTAAATTTGCGGCATATATTTTTATGCCCTGAAAGAAATGTTTTTATATTTTTAGCATTCATATGTTTATATTCGCGCTTAGTTATTACCCTCAGTTTCCTTTTTTTTTTATTAGAACTCTCATCACTTTGGAAGTGCTGACGATGAGATGTCGTCATATTTACAGGTGTAACAAGGATAAAATTCCATAAAATCCAGGTTTCTGGCATAACGGTGCTCTTTTTTCTAGTATTTTTGCTTTCAAATAGTTTAAAATGGATGAAGCCTAGGTGCGTATTTGAGCTTTTGTAATTTCTTTAAGGCACCAGACCCTAGTGCAATTCGGCCACTCGAAATACTGGAAAAAGCGCTGAAGCTTGTGCAACAAAATTATACAAATAATCGCGATTATACCTACGCAAACGATCAGCTGAGAAGTATTCGTCAAGATTTAATGGCAAGTTAAATTAATATTTTGTTACTCAAACAAAAAAATATTTAAGAATAATACGGCGAAGTGGCATATTTTGTCATCCTGGACCTCTGTTAAATTTAGGGACATTTTCTTATGAAATTCC